ACAAAAACAAACCCCCCCCCCCAAGTCTCCCAAGTTCTTTCTCGTGAGCTCATTGAATAACAACGATTAAAGGTCATAAATAAACGCTCCATGAGCATTCCTATGTTAATTATACCTCCTGTATGGAATAGCCACTTAAACTATATTTATAGTTTGATTATCTCTTAGTGTAAAAACTCCTTTATAAAGAGACAAGGAGTTAGTGATTGTCCCTTAACAGGTAATACCAGGGTGAGGAAAGGCGTAGCTACATGTTCATTCTGCAAGCTCTCACAGAGCTCCTACCAGTGCCAGACCTCTTGTCAGGCACTATTGATGCACATGTAATTAAGGCAGAGGCCTGCTGTCAAACCATTCAAGTCTAGAGGCAAGAAGCTGACCAGCTAAGATATCATGGGTAAGTAGCAGCACAGAGCAGTGTGGAGATGTTTCTGAGATGCATTTGAAAGGACAGCAAAGGCATGGGAAGTCATAGAGATAGGGTGTCGCAAGCCAAGGGAATAGCACATGCATAGGTATCCAAGGTACACTGAGAGTGGGAAATTACCTCATAAAGTCTAATAAAACTGTTAGCGAAGGTAGGGGGGTGGGAAACATCATGCAACCAGTCAGAGTGTTCATTGATTCCACCAATCGCAGAGAGTGGGGTGAAGGAAGGCAGTTCCCAGGAGGACTTATGGAAGAGCTTGCTGTTGTAAGGGGATGCTTTGAGTGACAGGGATATGAAACAAAGATGGAATCTTTGGATTCAAGCTCTAACAGGAATCCTGTGTGCAGTTGTTCCCAAGAGGCACAACCAGAGGCTCTGGGTCCTCAGTAGAGATAGACTGAACCCAGGAGAGAGTCTCGGAATCCACATACCCACAGGGCTCAGAGTGTTGGAAACCCATTGACTCCTGCCACTTGCCGGGGGCTGACCTCAGAGCTTCAGGTGGAACAGAAGAGAAATGCTATTTCCGTTTCTATGCAAATACCTACCCCAGCATCTTTGCAGAGGAACTTTGCTGAGCCAGATGTTGAATAATGGAGCTCACAGTTTCTTGTCCTTCACTGACTTAACACTATTTTGGCTCCACAGAGTCTTGTTTTGCAAGGAGAGGTACTCAAACATGTTGGGTGCATATTTATATATATATTTTTATATTGAGGTTTAATGTGCATATCTTTTTATTAGCCAATTCATGTTTTCATAATTTTTAAAAGAATTATTCTTAAAAAATTATTTATTTATCTATTTTTGTTAATTTGACTGCAGAGAGACAGAGAGAAAGAGAAAAAGTGAGAAAGCAAGCCGCTAGGTCTGGGACTTGAACCATGGTCAGCCGTGTGAGAGTTCAATGTCTTAACCACTACATCACCTGCAGGCCCCTTTGTATTGTTGAATGAAGTGATTTTAGATATCCTAGGGTCC